CACAGTAACCTGAGCCTGACTGCTTTGTCTAAGCTTCCACTTAAAGAACTGAGCTAAGGGGCAGGCCTTCAAGACTTTCAGATTTTGTATTCTGCCTTTTTTCCCCCTTATATTGAAGATTGAACCCATGGCCTTGAGCATGGTAGGCAAAGACTTTACCACCATTGGACTACTTCCTCAGCCTGTAAGTTTTCTGTTGTTATAATGGAATTTCCATGGCTGTTAACTTAATAGGTATTCCTGAAATGGAGATTCCAAACTTGAATACCATGTGACCTACATGGGATATACCCGTTTAGAAGGGAAAATTAGATGTTTACAACTCAAGTTAAGATATAGGTAAGAATTTCAGATAGTAATAGTGTTTTCATTCAGGTCTGAGAGTGCAGGCAATAGGAAGCACTGCTTGAACTTTATTTCACTGTTTTTTTCTCTTTTTTTAAATGTAAGCTTCTGAAGGTGAAAATCTGAAGTCTTTGTTTCCTTATATAACTTTTAATCTTAGATGTCTAAAGGGCAGAGGTCATACTGTAAGTATACTTACTATTTACACAGGTTTTCAAAAACAGACAGTAAGTGCCCTTGTGATGGTTGCTGTAGATGTAAAAGCTGTCATTGGGAAGTTTTTTGCTAACCCATTTTATGAATATTTTTATTAATTAGTAAATGGTATTGGAGATTGATCCCAGGGCCTTTGCACTGAGCTGCATCCCCAGCCCTGTTTATTTTATTTAAATTCTGAAGATCTTTCTGCCTCAGCCTCTCAGAGTGCTAGGTTAACATGCCAACTTCTCCTGTAATGTGGTTTTGAAGATACACAACCAAAATGTGATTTAATTTCTTTGAAAGTTGTATTTTATAGAATCTTGAACTAGTGTTCTGGTAACTGGGTGGTTGAACAGAAGAAAAGGCAGTGTGTAAAGCAGTGAGTTCTTCATCCGTTGTAGTGGTGCTGTGCTACCTCCTTTTTATCAGCCCGCCTAGGCAACATAGGTGAACATTTAGGGGTCTGGGGCTAGGGTTTTAGGGTTTCTTGGAACTGGAAGAGTTAGTTATTTAATTTTGTTAATTACTAACTTGGAATTAGCAATGCCTGTGAAAATTTATAATTTTTTTCAAATTTGGCTAAAGCCATTTTGTAGAAGCTCCATACTCTGAGATGTAATTGAAATTTCTGAAAGGTAGCTCTGGGGAAAACAGTGTCAGTCAATGTTCATTTGCATGCACCATTCATATAAGCAGAATGTGTGTTACAGTTTTTTATTTTATTTATTTATTTTTGTAGAACTGGAGATTGAACTCAGGCCCTTGCGCTTGCCAAGCAAGCACTTATTCTACTGAGCCATCTCCCCGGCCCCTAGTTTTTAAAAAATATATCTTACTGTTTCTTTTTTTCCCTTGTGCTGAGTTTTGAACCCCCGCCCTCATGCTCTGTAGGCGGGTGCCCTCCACTTGAGCTACACAGCCAGCCCTCACCTCCCAGTTTAATATGGAACTTACTGCCAAGCGGGCACTTGCTGCCCCCCTGGAAAGAATTACATGTGTTTAACTTTCAAAATAGATGCAGAGTATCAATTGGGTTTTGTCTTAACAGTTGAACAATTTCCTATCTGTTGGAAATTTGAACGTTGCAAAATAATAATAAGGAAGTTTTGAGATGAATGCTAAGAGAAGCAGTTTAAGGGAACTCCTTGAGGAATTTTGTGTGTGTGTGTTTTAAAGAGATTTACAGAGGTGATAATGCAGCAAATAATTTTTGGAAGACCTAGCGTGTGCCGGGATCTAAGCACTTTACATACAGTTTCTCATTTAGTCCTAGTACTTCCTGTGGGTAGGAATTAATATTAATGCTGTTTTATGCATGGGAAACTGACCTTTAGGGTTGTTGACGTAACCAGGTGTCGGTGTTGAGCCCTGCTTTTTGTGGAGTATTTGTTGTTGAATCAGGTGATGTATTAATCCTGCCTTACGTCCAGCTTTCAAATTTATTTCATATATATTTCTTCCAATATTGCTAGAAATACCATGAATGCATTAGATGAGATTATGGATCCATGTTCTGCAGCTCTCTAGTCTTACTGTGATAATTTTAAGTTATTTTACATGATCTACTAACTGGAGACAGGTGTTCATTCTCCCTTATGCAATTCCCCAAGCTTCTCTTCCACAAGAAGCCCACCCTGTTGCTGAAATGTGAACACATCAAGATGATAATACTTTAAAAACTAATTACATTTTTGGATCACCTTGTATTTTGCCTCTAAACCTTCTCAAGCCAAAGGTTCTCCTGAAGAAACAGCGAAATGTTTTCTGTGGTCTTTGTAGCTCTGCATCGTCTCCTGGCTTGCTCTTGGTGCTGTGTAAAAATCTTGTACTTCTAAATAGGACCCTTCATAGACAGTGGTCCAAGTGTTGCTCTTATTTCTGCATTCCTTAGGGTATTAGGAATAGAGTTATGACAGCCTTATTGTCTATACATTTTTTTTAATGAAAATGATTATATTTTATTTTCTTGTATTTGTTTTTTGGCATTGCTGTTTCTGTAAATGCTTGGTTTTCTTCATTTTGTTTCTTTTAATCCTTATAAAGACTTAGCTATTAGTTATATTCTGTTACTTCATTAATGCATTTTTTGTTTATGTATTCTGTTTAAGGATTAGTTCTTCTGTACGTAAAAAGCCTTTCTAAAATTAAGTAGAGAAGTTAGTGATTTTTTTTATATATTTCTTTTTTGTCTGTTTTAGGATGGCTACCATAGAGTAGTTAATATTGTGCCAAAGAAACCTCCACTTCTAGAAAAGAAACCTCCACTGCTAGAAAAGAAACCTCCACTGCTAGAAAAGAAACCACCACTGCTAGAAAAGAAACCTCCACTGCTAGACAGACCTGGTGAAGGAAGCTACAGTAGATATTACAGTCATGTTGCTTACCGAGAATATGACGAGGGCCGCAGTTTTTCTCATGATCGAAGAAGTGGTCCACCTCACAGAGGAGTATGTAAATTTCTCCCATGTACTAACAGTTATTTCTTACATGCAAACTTCCTGTAATTCAAATGTATGTGGCAGCCGTAAGAGCAGTTGAATAAGCAGTTCTGCTGCTCTGTTGCAGGGCCTGCAGGCCTTCCAGTGGGAGCTGTGTTCGTGAGTTGGTGCTGGACAAGGTGGGCAGCACTGGGGACAGCTCAGCCTTCCCTTGAGGACAGCATGCTGGCCTTTCCTGAGTGGGGAAGCTGGGGGTGGGGAGAGACATTGTGTATGGTAGGCAAGTGCTCTACCACTAAACTATATCTTGGTCTAGATTTTTTTTTCTTATCCTTTAAAGTAGCAGAGATTTGCAGAGCTCTATAATTTTTGCTTTGATGCTTAGAAATGATGAGCAGGTGGATAACGTTTCATATTGGCTGCACCTATTGACAATTACTACATTTTTATCATGATAAAACGTTATGGTAAAATGGTTTAAGGTTGTTTTTGTTGTGATGATAAAAGTCTGTTTGCTAGTTCATATTACAATGTGCTCAGCCATATATGGTGTCCCACACCTGAGTCCAAGCCCTCTGGAGGCTGAGACAGGATGACTGCGACTTCAAGGTCAGCCTGTGATACAGAGCATGTTCAAGGCTAGGCCTGAACTGCATAGAGAAACCCCATCTCAGAAAGCCCCCCATGCTCAAAACATTGCTTATGTCATATAATAAACGCTTAAAAAATGAACTGCTCTTAGTGCTATTATAATGTTTCTGTTGATAATCTAGAAGCTTGTAAAGTTGCACTAATTTATTACTAACTTGATTATAAGTATTTTAACATAATTTGTGTTTTACTTTGCATTTTTTCAGTATGTATCTTGTACACATTTTCTACCTCTTCTGTTTTTCTCTTTCATAATATGAAGAACACAGTAATTACCCATTAATCATACACATTTAAACACTGTTATTACTTCACACTGGCTATTGGATTCTACCTATAGCATATACTGGTAGTATACACCAGAAGAAGTGGTCAGCAGTTTCCAAGGGCAGGTCCTTATGGGACTTCCGTTCTCTTACGGTTACACAACAGTGCCTTTCCAGTTGAACGTGTCTATGAACCTACTTTCTTTTCTTGTGTTTGTTCCTAAAGTTTGTAGTCTTACAGTCTCCTTGTCATTGAACTGATTTTGTTGTTGTTGTTCAGATCTTAAAAGCCATGTGTGCCTGTGTGAAGATGGGTCATGTATCAGAAAGGAAGTGCCGTGCCCGTTTCTCAGCTCTGGGTTCGAGACTTGGCTATCAGTCATTCTCCAGGGAGAAACAACTGACTGTAACAGAAACAGCTGTTACCCTTTTGTGAAAGCCCTGTCTGGTCTTTTGGTGCAGACAGGCATTTGTGTGTTCTTTGGACCAGTTTTTAAAACATGAACCTGGGTTCTTTTCCCTTAAAAGCTGTACTGTAAAGTGCTTCCCGAATAGCACGGTTGGTTCTTACTGGTCTTCCAAATTTTGGCTGCCTGGGCTGAGGCTTTCCTGAACTTGCTAGCCTGCAAGTGCAAGGCTGTGGTTTCAGTTCCCAGCACCGTGAAACAAAACCAAACAAATCATGCCTTTTTTTTTTTTTTTTTTTTCCCAAACCTGGGGATTAAACTCGGGCCCTTACACTTGCCAGGGAAGCATTTATTCCACTGAGCCATCTCCCTGGCCCCATAAATCATGCCTTGCATAAGATTTTTTTCTTTCTACATTTTGTTCAAGCACATACCAAGCTTGTGATCCTTAAGATTCTCACAGTAATTATTGTCTGGAGTTCATTTATATAAGACAAACTACATAATCTCATATTTTGTTATAACTCTTGAATAGTTTCCTTTTATGTATAATGTAAGAAGGAAAATGCAAAAAAAAAAAAAAAAAAAAAAAAAAAAAAAAAAAAGAAAGAAAGAAAATGCTACATAAATTTTTTTTTTTTTTTTTTTTTTGGCAGAACCGGGGATTGAACTCAGGCCCTTGTGCTTGCCAGGGAAACGCTTATTTCACTGAGCCATCTCCCCAGCCCCTCTATATAAATTTTACTTAAGAGTAGGAATGCACTGATAATGAGGCACATGTAGAATTTTTCTTGATAGTTTTCCAGATGAGTGATTTGCATGTTATAATTTTCTGTATATAATTTTAAAGTAGTTAGGTATGAATCACTATTTTGTTTCTTTATGAACTTTTGGAAATGTATCTTAAGAGAATGAAGTGTGTCTGATTAATGTTGAATTTAGGGCTACCTACTAGTCTCAATACAGCTTATCAGCAAGAGTTCCTTACTGCTTTTTGTTGAAGTTTTCATTCAGAGAAAGCGCAAAGCAACCAGGAGCTACAAAAGCGAACACGGGGTGAGGTTCTTTGAGCATGAATCTGAACGTTGAGGTGAGGATCTGGAGAGTGCTGGGTGGAGAAGTGATCCCTGGCTCAGCCCTCGTGCTGCAGCAGCCGACAGCTTGCGTGCTGCTGCGGCTGTGTCCTGGCCGCACGGCTGTAAGCGTGAAGCACCATGTGGCCCGCAGAGATCGTTGGTGCAGGAAAACGGAATCCCAGGTTCCCGGATGCTTGCTGCTTTCCGTTGCTATCTGCTTGTTGTCTTTGAAGCTTAGGAGTATCAGGAACAAAGCAGTTTTCCTTGAAGGAGTTTTGGCCTTAAAGAGTAGGTGTTGGTTGTACTGCTGGGTATGTCCTGCTCGTCCAAAGCTGTTAACTGTAAACCACTTTATGTTGCAGGATGAATCTGGCTATCGATGGTCCCGGGATGATCATTCCTCAAGCCGCCAGAGTGACTACAGGTAACAAAGCGGCGCCGAAAGGACTTTTCATACTTGACTTTCTCTCTGTGTGCTGACCTCAGGCACAGAACTGGAAATATTAGGATTTGGCATTGCGGAAGCAAACTAGGTGTAGTCATGCAGGGCTGTCTCCCCAGCTGAGGAGGATGGGGCGGGAGGATCATCGGAAGCCTGAGGCCTGCCTGAGCTATGCAGTGAGTTTGGGGCCTGCCTAGTTACAGAAGGAGATTGTCCAAAAAAAAGCAAAATATATGAAATTGAGTTAAATTTTGAAAGCAGTGGGCATTATAATATTTTTTGTGCATGTAGTACAGCTGGTAGTTAACATTGTACATGTATTGACATTTTGTATTTGGTCATACAAATGCATACTTAAAATATTTTCAGTTATTGATATATTCTTTTTTTTTTTTTTTTTTTTGGTCCCATGGTTCAAACTCAGGATCTTGCTCTTGCCAAGCAGGCGCTTTTGCCGCTGAGTTATATCTCTGGCCCTGATACATTCTTGTGAGTTAATAATTTTAAAAAAAAATCTTTTATTTATGTAATTGGTACACACTCTCACTGTGCAGCTTGGGCTCTTAGTGATCCTCTTGTCTCAGCCTACCCAGCACTAGGTTTACAGTAGTGTGCCACCACACCTGTTTTTGGTGGCAAGCATGGCGCACCCGGGATTCAAAGGTTGGCCTGGCCTGCAGTACCATGGAATCCGGGTCCTTGTGCTTGCCAGCGCTGAAAGTTAATGCTCTTAATGTGTCATGTGAATTATGTGGTATAGGTGTGCTGGATTAGAGGTAAAGCAGTTCTTTGAGGAACAGCCTTCTGGTGCACTTGTGTTCATTGAGTGCATTTTGACACGTTCTTATTTGAAACGATCTTCATCTCTGTTAGCTTTTTTGCTCATTGTGGGCATCTAATAAGAAACTCGGGATAAATTCTATGAATAGCTGAGCACAGTGGCACAGAAACCTACGGATCACAAGTTTGCGACTAGTCTGGGCTGTTTCGTGAGACCCTGTCTCAAAAGGTGACTGGGGATTAAGGTCACAGGTAGGGTGCTCCTCGGTTCAGTCCCTGGTCCTTTTTTTTTTAAAATATAGAGTAGCTAACCGTCTTCTTAATTGTTTAATATCTGATACTGGGACTGTACCCACTCGTTCATACTACGCTTTGTCCCAGCCCTTATTTTACTGTTCATTTCCAGGCAAGGACTGATAAAGTTATCTGGACTGGGCTTAGCCTTGTCATCATCTGCCTCAGCCTCCCAGGTTACTGGGTTGATTGGCGTGTGTCACCATGGCCTCCTGGTCACTTGTTTTTGTTGATCGGGGTGTGTGTATGTGTGGTTTGATTTTTGAAGCAGTTCTCACTCTAGTCCAGCCTGGCCTTGAACTTACAGTGTTTCCCAGGTTGGCTTTGCACTTGTGGTGAACCTCCTGTCTCAGCTTCCCAAGTGCTGGCATTAGAAGGTGTGTGCCACCATGCCAGGCTTTGGGACTGACATGGCCGGCCCGGTGTTGCAGGGCCAGCATGGAATGTGGTACCGGGGATTGAACCTGGGTCCTCGTGTTTGCCAGGTAACCCCTTAGATTGACACGCTGTCATTTTGGGAGTTTTAAAGGAGTGATGTCTTTTGAACTTCTGGGGGGGAGTAGAACCCCAAATTCATAGAGAATGCAGTGACATGGGGAAGACAGTGTCAGCCATAAGTCCAGAGGTAGCAGAGGTGGACTCAATTCTGTGGGTCAGAACAGTGCATTTTAATGTTAAGCCAAGGCCATGGCTGTGCGCACCGCGGGTGCATCGTGGGTACAGAAGCCGGGTCAAGAGCTCACTAGCTTTCTGAGCTGGCAGGGAAGAATGAGCAAGAAGTTGTTTCCCCTACACTGAGCAGCCATTCAGTCCTGAGGCTGTGGTTACCTCGGTCCTGCGAACAGTGAAGAAGGTGCTTGCATCAGCAGGTAGTTAGGACATCAGGTCCCATGATGGATACCCAGAGAAGAATTAGAAAGAACAAATGCTTCAACTTGTTTGGTAAAATGCAATATAGTCAGTAGTTTTAATAAGCCTGTAGCTAGTTGGAAATGGGAAGAGAATATCCTTGACCTTATAAATAGCATTTGCTATACTGAGAAGTAAAGTGAGAACATTTACTTTCCAACCAGAGGAAAACAATGAAATCTGCTTCTTTCAGTTCTGCTCAACGTGGTAATGGATGTCTTGGCTCTTTTGGAAAAGACTTGGAAATTGGAAAGTACAGGTGTAGAGGTTATGATGGAAAAGCTTTTTCCCTTGCGTTCTGCCAGCATTTGAGATCGCACCCGAGGCTTCACTTTGAGCTATAGCCCAACCAATTTTATTATTTGAGACAGGATCGCATAAAAGTCATTTAGCTGCCTAGGCTAGTTTTTAATTGTGGTATTCCTGCCTCAGTCTCTGAGAGTGCTGGGATTCCTCTCATGCTTGTGTAGATGCCCAGCAAAAATGGAAACAACAACAGCCAAAACAAAAAAAGAAACAGAATTATTTAAAGATTGTATTTATGTAGAAAATCTTGGGATGTCTGTGCATAGGCATATTAGAGCTATTAGCAATTTATTAAAATTTAGAGTAAGAGGGTTGGTGAGATATTTCAGAGGACTAAGCACCTGCTTTGGCAAGCGCAGGGCCCAGGGTTTGATTTCTGGTCCAGCATGCTACGACTGCCCTGCCCCCAGGGTGTGCTGAGCTGGTGACTGAGTCTGGGTGTGGTGATAATCCCAGCAACGGAGAGCCTGAAATGAGTCTGAGCTGCATAGTGACGTCCTGTACCAAATACATTAAAAATGAAAAAAAAAAAAAAATAAGTGTAAGAAAAGTCAATTATCAGTAACATAAATTAGGAAGTATAATTTTAAAATATTACCTAAATGATGAGTAAGTCTGCCAAAAGTGTAAGATCTCTGCTGCGGAAATAACATGCTACTTCTCAAAGACATACGTAGAAGCAGCAAAATCCAGCTGGGAATGGTGGTGGACCCCGGGGACTTTGTAGCAGGAGCACCACATGTTTGCGTCCAGCCTGGGTGTCTTAGCCCAACTTGGGCACCAAACCTAGATGTCTCAGTAAGACCTTGCCTCAAAATGAAACCTACAGGGCTGGTGAGATGGCTCAGTGGTCTAAAGCACCTACTTAGGACAAGCTAAGCTAAGCAAAGCACAGGGACCGCGGTTCAATCCCCCAGCACCACATGCCAGCCAGCCCCGCCCCCTGGTGGGCTGAGTTGGCCACACACAAAAGAAATAAATTAATTAATTAAAAAAATATATATATATATTAAAAAAAATGAAACCTACAGAGAAACAGAAGTTGGCTGGGGCAGCTTCCTCTTGTGACCCAAGTGTCCTGGTGAGCCGACTCGGAAGGAACACCCTGAATTTGAAGCTAGATAGGCAAGAGCCTGCCTCAGAGAACTTTTTTGGGGAGTGGTAGCATTGGGGAGTGAATCTAGGGCCTTGCACGTCATCGGCAAGTGTTCTGTCACTGAGGTGCCACTTGAGCCTGCCCTGGTTGTAGCTTAATCCATTGCCTGGAGTTCAGTCCCCAGTGAGGCAAAAGAACGGCAAAGAAGAGCTAAGTATATGCTTGACAGAGAGCATTTGCATGAAGATGCCAGTGCTGCCCAAAGTATTAGATGTGAATTGAATATGGTTCCACTCAAAAATGAGGATTTTTTTCATGGTAGTTAACATGCTGACTGTAAAAATAATATGAAACAGTCGAGGGCCACTTGGAAAAGATGGAGTGAAGGCTCCCGATGACACGTATCCTAAAACAGTGCTCAGGGAAGAAGAGCAGTGTGGTGGTCTGCTCGGGTCAGACGCAGCAGTGTGGTACACTGAGGGAATCTGCGCATGTGGAGGGGCTTGGGGCGTGGCAGCTGCAGCATTGGAATCGGAATGGAGACAGAGTGACCTTAGAATAGTGCTCATTATTTGTCCCAAGTAGAGACATATTTTAGAAAATATAAAATTGCAGACCTGGTGTGTCACAAGAATGTATAATTAAGACCTACTAGCCACTTGTGGCAGTAGACACTTCCTAAGGCTGGAGGTTGAGACAGGAGGATCACTGCGATTTTGAGGCCAGCCTGCACTACATAAGAAATCCTATCTCAAAAAAACAAGAAAAGTGAAAAATAAGATGTATATATGTGAAAACCAGACAGTCTAAAAGCTGTAACAGTCCATACCTTTTGTCAGCTTGAGAAGTTTCCAAGATTAATTGACTCAGCAGTTATAATGAAGTGTAGAGATGTGTCCCAGGGCAGATGTTAAGCCCCAGGATGTTGGGATGGTCGATTCATTGTGCTAAGTTGGTCAGTTTAGAGTTTACCTAAGCCCCGCAGCAGTGGGCAAGGGTCCTTCCTTTGCAGACGTCTCTGACCTGTGCAGTAGGAGGGCGTGCGGTGGGCACTGGTGATACAAGTGTCACACCACCCCAGGCTGGTAGCTCGCTTATATTAACTTTATTTTATTTTATTTATTTTATTGAGAAACAAATATCAATGCGACAGTTTCAAAACTGATTAATAGGACAGTCTCAATAATTAATATATTGTACATTTTATTTTCTTAGTGGTTATCCTTAGTACAAGATACAGACAGGATATCCTGTCCAAACACTATTAGTACAAATCTTTCTTCTCATTGATTTAAGTGAAAATAGGTGTATGTCTATCCTAACTATTCTGCATATACAGATACAAAATGGTCCTTCATTTGTATCACCTTTTTTTGTTTAGTCCTGTCAGAAATGGGTATTTATTTCATTGGCATCCAAATACTATAGGTGCATGAATTCAGCAAAACAATCCAACACAGTCCAGCAGTCCACAATAGTAGTGGGTTATCCACAGAAGCTGTTGACTTGAGCCTTTCACAGCTAAGCATATTATTATGGCTTTACTTGATTTTTTTTTTTGTGGAACCGGAGATTGAACTCAGGCCCTTGCGCTTGC